TCCCTACACGACGCTCTTCCCAAAACCCCAAAACCCCAAAACCCCATAATCTAAGATTTATCATAAGATTAATGATTAAATTCTTGATATATTCAATTGAGAATTAGTAGATATTATTCCTTAAACTATGTGGATCCTCATTATAAGAATCTTAGATTATATGACTTTTTGGTAAAGCTGGATTCTGAATTGTATGAAGTAGGGCCTGGCCCAAGTATCTTAGGACCAATTCGGAAATTCTTCTATTTGGAGACATCAGAAAATCTTTCAGCAGCTGCAAATGAGGGCTTATTCTTGGTATTGTTGGACCTATCTTGTGATAATGAAATATCTGCAGTTGAAACATAGGATCCTGGACCTAAGCCTATTATTAATTAAGACTCATAGAACTCTTACTTTGGTTTCCTTTATTATCTAAGCTTTTGAATCTATTAACTGTAGATTAGAATGGTGCGTATCTCTTATCATTTCTCATCAATAGGAAATTATTAGGAGCTCCCCCTTACATTTATGATTATCCAAGAGCATATGAGCTGTTATATTAGCCTACTGCAGGAGTTTAAGATTTAGCTGTTACATTGAGATTATCTATATTAGTCCTACCTGTTGTTGATTTGAAAACTGCTGAGCCTGGAATTTCAGATCTAACTTTTACTGATTTGCCTCTTACCTTTCTAGTTATGTATTTAATTGCTCCTCCTATCTATGATTAAGCTTCATATTCTCCTGGACCTGGAACTCCTATCCTGCTATCTAGAGCATCAGCACCTCCAGTCCCATTCTTAAATAGTTAAGCAAATCTTTTCTCTGTTGTACCAAATGCTCCAATTGAGGTATGCCAAGTGCCTCCAGTGCTTCCTCTTCCATCAGCCATTCCATCTTTCATTCCAGAATTGTATTATCCAGGTGCGGGAAGATCATTTCCCGAGAACAGCAAATCATTTCTTTTAGATTTAAATGCAGCAGTCTCTACTTTTCTTGCACTGTAAACTCCTATCCCTCCACTGATATTTGGTGCAGTCATTGGTACTTCATAAGTTCCTGGCCCTATATCAGGCTTAGGTTAAGAGAACGAGTTGCTAAATTCTTTAAATCTCTCTTGTGTTGATCCAAAGAATTACAGGTACTCTGGTTTCAATTCATTTCTAAAGTCACTTTAAATCCTATTGTTATAGTAAACTCCGGGTCCAACTCTACTTTTAAATTCTTACTTCATCTCCTAATTTCTTTTCATTTTTTCTTCTTATCCAGCTTTTTCCACAATATTCATCTTTTATTTGATAGCTCTATAGTTATTATAACTAGTCATTCTAAGTTCATTTAATTCTTAACTCTATATTATTGGAATTTTAGATTTCACTGTATTATTGATAGTCAGAATTTCCTATTCATAAGCACCTGGCCCTGGCACGATTAACTCTTCCTTGTCTGGAAGTACATATCCAGCTGAGACTAGATTTTTAGGTTTGCAAAATGAATTAGCTATAGATCTTTTTGCCTTAGAAGCAGCCCAATTATAGGCAGGTGTTCCCTTCTTCGTAGGCTTATCATCTGGGTTATATTGCCCTGGACCTACATTAACTTTAGCTCTTTACTCTTACTCCTTATGCATTTTATCTACAGCCTACATTATCTAAGTTTTATTGAATTAATTCTCAATTGTATGTATATTATTATTCGTCATTATATTTGTGAGTTCAGGCTGTTGAATATGATTGTTAGTTGAAATGACTGGGTTTGAATTTCTCTTCTCAGTAAGTAGTTTAATCATATTAGTTGGCTATTGAATCTCTGTATCATCATTGAGGTTAGGTAGCTCGTCTATTTACTACTATTAAGCATCAGTCTTTAAGTCTGCTTCTTTAAACTATCTATTTGATGATAGTTATCCTTGAGTATATGTATTTTATTGTCCCTCGTTTTTAAGCATTAAAGTTTAGACACTGTCCTGTGGACCTCTTTCTTTTCCAGTTTCTTTCCTACTCAATTAGGATTGATAATTCTTTCTATCAGCACTTTGATTATCCTTTTCTCCTCTATTTGGTTTAAAACCTTAACTACTAACAATAGCTCTAGTAGTTGGTCCACTTGTGCCAACCACACTTATTCTTCCCATGTCTGCAGCAGATGGAATTTAAGATTTTTGAATTCTTAAATCTATCGATCTCTGTGGATTCCTCTTCTATTAGGATCTTGGAGATTCATTTTCCTTAATCTATTCTTGTATTGCAGAAACTGGAGAATAGTTATGTCTGTGTAAATTAGGTTCCTCAGCATATGTTTCATCGAACTAAATCAAAATTTTATTTCCTGATGGGATGCTTGGAACCGTTCCCATTACCTTAGTCATCTGCTAAGCTGTCTTTTTTAATTTCTTTTTAGTCTTATTAACAGGCGGTTCAATCTGATCTTGCAGATAGGTTGGCTATTCTTATTAATAGGCTTTTTATTGAACTTTTGTCTCTGTTTAATCAGCTACATTGTAACTGCCTGGTCCAATTTATTCTCCAACATCTGAAATTTGAGTATAATTGAATCTCTTCAGTTTATCAGCTGCATATAGTTGCTATTTTTTCTGAAGGTTTCCTCTTTCAATGACATAGTACACACCTTTCTCCTCTTGTTTAAGTTAATTTGCTACATAGTTCGGTTTGAAGCTGTTCTAATTGGCAGCATATTGTCCTGGAGCAGGATTATAATTTATTTTATGAATTTCTTGTCTTTTTGTACTCTAATTAAACCCAGGTCTTTTTATATTTACGAATCGTGATTCTTGAGACTTTGAACTTCTATTTTTAAATGCACCAGGGACATCATATTGACCTGGACCAATCAAAGGAGTTCTATCGTCTATTAAAAATTTAGTATCTCGTTCTTCAAGGAAAAATGCCATTTTTAATTATTTTATAATTATGAATTAGTTCGTTATTAATACTGAAATAAATTAGATTGCGATTGCTAATTTTTAATTCAATAAAATCGATAGATTAAATTATTGCGTCTCATCAATATATGCTTACGCATATAGCTCAAAATAGCCTGAAAATCATTCTTTTCCGTGTTCTTGCTCCCAGTATTGTTGGGTCTTCTCACTGTCTGCATCGGCGTGCATGGTCTTTTTGCCTGGAGTCCATTGAGCTGGGCAGACTTCACCGAACTCATCAGTGTATTGGAAAGCTTTAACGAGTCTGATTGTCTCATCAACGTTTCTTCCAACTGGGAGATCACTAATGCTAATGTGTCTAACTGTTTGGGTCTTATCAATAATGTAGGTTGCTCTGAATGCTACACCAGCATCATCACCATCTTCAATGAGGCATCCATATCTTCTAGCAATATCCTTGGTAACATCAGCAATAAGTGGGATGTCCATCTTGCCAAGACCTCCCTTCTTTCTGTCCTTTTTGGTGTATTCCATGTGAACGAATTGAGAATCAATTGAGCATCCAAGGACTTCGCATCCGAACTCTCTGAATTCCTTTGCTCTGTCAGCAAATTGAACGATTTCAGTTGGGCAAACGAAGGTAAAGTCAAGTGGCCAGAAGAAAAGCACAACGTATTTACCTATAATGTTATGACATAAAATCATTCTTACCAGCATAATCTGATAGCTTAACTTTCTTGAAGCCATTGAACCATGCTACAGCCTCAAATTATGGTGCTGGTTTTCTAACTCTAGCAACTTGATTCTTTGAGCATTTAGCACCACATTTGCAATCAACACAGGTACATCCGTTGGCACAGCATCCAGCGGCATCAGCTTTATTCTAAGCAGATGAGGAGCAGTTGGGACCACACTTGCAGTCAGTGCATGTGCAGCCATTTGGGCAACAACCCTATGTTTAGTTTGAACTAGTTCCACAGCAAGAAGATTCCATAATATCTTAATAATTTAATTTAATTACCTTGATATCCCGTTTTCTCGCTTAAATATTAAATTAAACTTAACCAAGTATGTTATAATGTTCTCTTCTAGAAAATCGTTCTATTCCTTTAATCTTGTGGAATTTCATTCATCTCTTGATCCATTCTTATGGGGTTTTGGGGTTTTGGGGTTTTGGGGTTTTGGGGTTTTGGGGTTTTG